TTCAAGCTCTTCCTGGAGAATTGCATAAACCTTACGCCAAAACCCTTTCTGATTTTCTCGAACGTGAGATCATTTCCGACTCTAAAGGCCCTCCGATTTATCCGCCACAGCAATTGATTTTCAATGCCCTTAATACAACTCCTTTTGATCGAGTCAAGGCTGTTATTATCGGACAGGTATAGGCATTTGGAAGGAACATTGGTTCTGTATTCTTGTTATGATTTAATAAGTTTTCCTTTCGGTTGATTAGGATCCTTACCATGGACCTGGTCAAGCTATGGGTTTGTCTTTCTCTGTGCCTGAAGGAGAAAAGCTTCCTTCTAGTCTTTTGAACATATTTAAGGAGCTTCAGAAAGATGCTGGCTGTTCAATGCCGCGTCACGGTAATCTACAGAAATGGGCTGTGCAGGTAAAGGGAGTTTCTTTATGATCTCTCTCAAATTATTTGTTCCGATCAGTTCACAGTTTACTTGGAGAAGATGAAGCAATTCACTTTTGACTTTCTTTTTTTGTAAGGGTGTTTTGCTGCTGAATGCTGTTCTTACAGGTAATGTCTATTGTGGCGTGGTGGTTACCTTATAAGTATAAAAACTGTCAAAATCCTGCAGTTCTTCTCACAAATATGTCGATTATCTTGCCTTTTGATTCAGTAAGGAGTAAACAGCCTAATTCACATGCAAAGAAAGGATGGGAACAATTCACTGATGCTGTTATTCAAAGTATCTCACAGCAGAAGGAAGGTGTTGTCTTTCTCCTCTGGGGAAAATACGCTCAAGAGAAATCCAAGTAGGTTTGGTTATATGAATGTGACTCAAATTGCCTTTTCGATCTCCAAAAACGTCTATGCATCTTCGTTGTTTATCTTGTATGAGACTGCAAGCTTTCTTATGATTATTGCAGGTTGATAGATGGGAATAAACATCACATACTCACAGCAGCTCATCCATCTGGTTTGTCGGCGCATAGAGGCTTCTTCAACTGCAGGTTAGCTCAGTCCAGTAAACCTTTTTCTCTCCTGCCAATTCACATGCATAATGTAACCAATGTTTCCGTGAGTCTGCAAGAAATGACATGACTTGCCAGTCTGAGCATTGTGTTTATGTTTTCGCAACTGCTGAATTAACATTAATGTTACACCTTTGGACAGACATTTCTCTCAAGCAAACCAGCTATTCGAGCAAATGGGGATTCCCCCCATAGACTGGCAACTTTAACTTCTTAACCGCAGTCTTAATGCCAAGACGAAGTATGAGTGTTCTTGTGAAGCCAGCCATTTTTTGCAATCCCTTTTGGTGAACAGAACTTGAAGCTTTAACTGTTATAATGGTCCCCTTTTGTGAACCCTAGACGACTAGCATAGGCTGTTAGAGGTGTAACTTAGTATGGCTAAGAAGTGGCAAACTGTCTTCATTTTGTAGTTTTTGAAGAATGCTGTGTTTGTATTATATTAATGCTACTAAATTGTAGAACTTACTTTGTTGGTACAAAGTTTGGAAAAGTTGTAAGTATGGATGGTGGGATATGTTAAAAGTATGGAGAATGAAAGATAGCCTGAACTGAAGCTTTCAAGCTGCATAAAACCACAGTTTCAAGTCAGTGATGAATGCTAATAGATTTTACATGCAACACCTCTGATATTGTTATTCTTGAGTTCGAGGCATGTAAGGGAATCAAAAATTTACAATCTTGAAACAAAATTCACTATATTCTATGATCATAAATTTTTCACAAACGAGATACAAACTTTGCTCATCACTATTACCTGTTAGCTCCAAGTATGATTAATGTTTCTGAATTAACCAAAACAAGCTCCAAATGTTGCAGGAGGAAACAGAAAGAACATATTGTCTTCTTCTCATGTCTTATGTCTCTTCCTCAAGTTCCTTATAGTTGGCAAGTGCCTTTCAATTGAATGTGGACACCCGAAAAACGTTAAAAGATTCCGGCAGCTCTTTTCACCATCTTCCTCCCTTCCTTGAGAACTTAAATGGCTTAAATAAGTCTTGCCTTCATAGATATAGCTAAGCTGTTGCCACAGCAAAACACTCAGCCCAATCGCCACAGAAACACTCGCCACAAAGAGGTAGACTAGAACAAGACCTCGAACAGAGAATAAGACAGCATTGGCTATGTAAGCAATAGTAATATTCTTCACTGCTCTCAGAACCGATAAAGTATCACCATGTGCCACATTGGATGCATACGCAGCTCCATTTTCCAGAGGTGGCATAATATGAATCAAGGAATATACACACATAGCAGAAGCGTAGATTGTGCTTATGACGGCCGAGATAAGGAATGCTATGAAGTTTTTGTGATTACCCGCACCAACGCAGTTCCCAATCTGCAAATACAACACGAGGAGAGTCATTAGCCTACAGCCCTTGACCAGTAAATAAATACATTGAGGTTTAAGGTATTGATAAACAAGTCTAGTATCTGAAGACCAATAATTGGGGAAACTTAGATGATTGTATGAAATGGAATGATAAACTTGGTACAAGTCCGTGATTTATCTAAATGCTAAACTTGAAACGTGATCATCAATAGCACATCACCACACAACGTACACTCAAAAAGCCATTCTATATTCTGCTGTCTAAGTGAAACTAATATATATGTTATAACTAAAGAGAAACCTGCAAAAGCCATGAGACTTACAAAGGGGCAATGGTGATCCATGTCCAAGACACACATGCCACACGTGCGGCAGTGATGGGTTCGAGGTGACTTGGGTTTGGAGCAGTAGAGACAGAAGGTATAGTTGTTAAGGGCACCGTTCCCTACTCCAGGGTGGGTTCCATAAAGAACATTTATTGGTCTCCCGGCGCATTTAAAAGCAACAAGCATGAATGTTGTGAGCGTTGATATCGCCAAAGACACTGTTGTAACAGAATGAAAAATTCCACAAGCCAAGCTGATCGAAAACACGACAGGATACGCAGCCCAAATCCCACCACCTGCAGTTTTTTTCCAACAGAGGTTATTAACAGGGAAATGGGAAAAAATTATAATTTTCACATTAATTGTTGTTGTTCTTGGATAATTTAGAGGAACTTACATATCACAAAGAGCATAAACACAGCGAGGATAACGACGAAACACCGATCACGGAAACGTCTCAACCCAAAGCTTTTGGTTTCAAGTCTGACTGGATTCTGATTT